TGCATATGAAATTTCTCATTTAACCTGTCAAATAAACTCTTACTTGAAATAAAACAAAACAAAAAGGCATAAAAGAATGCCACTAGTCAGCATGAACTCGTGACATAAAGTCCTAAGTAAATGGTAATTCTTCTCCACTCATTTATTCAGTTAATAAATATTTATTGAGCACCTATTATGTTTCAGGGAGTGTTCAGACCCAGGAGATACATAAACTAACCCAACATTCAACTCTGTAAACCATAGAAAACTATGAATAGCCTTGAGAAGAATGGGAATCCCAGAACACTTACTTGTGGTCATACAGAACCTGTACATGGATAAAGAGGAAGTTGTACAAACAGAACGAAGGAACAGTTCTTGGTAAAGTGGAGGGGCAGTGAAGAAGAGGAAGGCCCTTGATGAGATGCATTGTCATTGTGGCTGCAACAATGGGCTCAGGCATAAGAACAATTATAAGGATGGCACAGGACTGTGCTGTGTTTCCTTCAGTTTTGCATAGGGTTGCTGTGGATCGGAGTTGACTCGATGGTGCCTTAACAACAACTAACCTTCAGGAAAGCATAAGATACTATATTTTAAGCCTTCTCACTGTCAGTCAGAATCAACTCCATAGCAGTGCGTTTGGTTTTTGTTTGAACTACCTTTCTTCAGTCCTGTGAAATAACCAAAAGAACACAATCGATGCCTACACGATGCCTACAGGACAGGGTAGAACTGCTCCTATGATGCTCTGAGACTCTCACTCTTTATGGGAGTTAGAGAAACCCCTGTCTTTCTTCTGCAGAGTGGCTGGAGGTTTCAAACTGCTGACCTTTTGGATCACATCCCTATGCATAACCATTAAGTCACCAGGACACATCTGTGAAAGAACAGGATGGTTCAAAGTTTAGCAACCACAGAAGAGATGAGGGACCTGGGTAATCCGCAAATAAGATAATAATCATCATTATAAGACCAAACTTACCACCATTAAGTTTGCAGTAAATGGCTTGGAGGGCTATATCTGACCACCTCTGGCTTCCCTATTGTCAAGAAGCTGGGGTCAGATATACCTTCATGCTCCATCCTTCTTTACCTATTCTAACACAAACTGTTCCTCTCAGGGCATGCTACTTCTATGCTGGATTCAATAATTCTTTACAATGATCACACAGAACTCAGACAACACTCAGAATTATAGGAGTTTATTGGGGATGTTAACAGGGTTACCACAAGTCAGGATCAATAAACAGTAAGGATACAGTTATTGGTCCGCAGCAACACCTCCTCAGCCAGCAACCAAATCTCTCTTTGGCCCTCAGCCTCTCAGTCACATGGTCTCTTGGCCTCTGCCTCCATGGGTCAGTGTGTTACCCTGGGTTGATTAGAGAAACAAATCCAAAGGCACTCATATGTGTGTATAAGAAAGAGCTTTATATAAGAGTAATTGTATATTAAGAAAACATCCCTGCCCATATCGAGTCCATAAGTCTAATATTGGCCCATATGTCCAATACCAATCTATCAATTCCTCTTCAGACTCAAGCAATACATTCCATGACGCTGAATGCAGGAAGCTCATAGGCCAGTGGGTAGAAAGTCTTGTGGATCCAGTAGTGGTAGAAACATTTCAGTGCTGGTGTGGGTGTGGTGTCCACACCAGCTCCAGGGCTCTCTCAGCATAGCTCTATATGACTTGTACACAGGAATGTCTTGTAGGGAGAGTGTGTATATCCCACCTCTAGCAAGCTATTTTTCTCCTTAGCACCTCCAAATGAGGTCACCAAACTGCGACCTGATTGAGAGGCTAAACTCTACCCCTTCACTCTTAATAGTCTCAAGTTGACAACAAATTATATAACTACCACAGTCAGGAAGCCCATCTGTCTCTGTCTCATACTCTCATAATATCATGGCTGCTCCTCTTTCTCTGCCCCATAGTCCCTGTGCCAGTCCCTGGTACCTCTGATCTCAGCCTCTGACACTCCAGACAGAGATCTGGAGCATGTTCTTCTGATGGTCCTGGGCTTCTCTCTTTCTCGCCTGCTTCAAAGATGGCTTATCCTTATAGCCAAGGGGGCTAGGGGGTTGGTAACTAAAATTGCCCGATCTCCTCTATTACTGTTACATAGGTCCTATTTGCAAAGTTCCACCTAATTTTATGTTGGGAGTTATGGAGAAAAGGGGTATAAAGAACTTATTAAGAAATTTCACTCCACCACAAAGTCTATCCCAACTTATAGCAACCTTATAGGACAGAGTAAAACTGCTTCCTATGGTTTCCAAGATTGTAAATATTTTTTCCTTTTTTTATAACAATTTTGTTAGCAGTTCATCCGCATGCCATATATTTCAATCATATCAAGAAGAGTTGTACAATTATCACCACATTCAATTCTAGAACATTTTCTTTTTCCTTATACTCATTCATGTAATTATTTTTAATTGAGGCAAAAATATACACAACAAAACATTCTCCAATCCCACAACTTCTACATGTGTAATTCAGTACCATTGATTATACTCTTTACATTGTACAGCCATCACTGATATCCCCAAGGTTGTAAATCTTTGTGGAAGCAGACAACTTCATCTTTCTCCTTCAGAGCTGCTGGTGGGTTTGAACCACCAAATTTGTGGTTAGCAGCCCAATGCTTAATCCCTGGAAACACCAGAGCTCCATAATTATTATTATAAAACCCAAAACCAAACTATCTTTCATCAAGTCGATTCAGACTCATAATGACCCTATATGACAGAGTAGAACTACCCCTGTGGGTTTCCGAGGTTGTAAATCTTTACAGGAGTAGAAAACCTCAGCTTTCTCCCATGGAGTGGCTCCTGGTTTTGATCTTCTGACCTTGAGGTTAGCAGTTTGACATGTAACCATTTGCCATAGTTGCCTTTTATTTAGCACTGGACTAAATTCTTCAATAACAATATCTTGTCCTCTAAGTAGCTCTGTAAAGAGGTATTAGGGATTGAATCGTGTGCCCCC